CTGGGGCCGGGCGGGAGGGGCCCCTGCTGTGCCGAGGAGCCGGGCCTGCCCCTTCCCGCTGACCACACAGAGCCTTGCTGCTCCCCAATGTGGCCGTTTCAATTTGCAGGGGAGCCGGGCTGGGCCTCATCCTGGCTGCTCACACGATGGGCCAGGCGGCCACCCCCATCATGGACATCCACCACAGTCGGGGTTTCTTCCTCCACCACGTGGTCTTCGCCTCCTTCGCCATCCTCTCCGTGCTCAGCATCATGCTCCTCCCCGAGAGCAGCCACCGGCCCCTGCCGGACTCCATGCAGGAGGGGGAGACCCAGCACCGGCCCCCGCTCTTCCACCCCTCTCGCCATCGCCGCCGCCAGGACCAGCTGCCGCTGCTTTCCACCCACTCAGGGGCCAGCCCCTACGACCCCGACACCTACGCCCACCTCGTCACGGCCACCAAGAAGATGCTGGACAGCCGCGCGGGACCCGCCGGCACTTGGGGGCAAGGAAACCCATTGTCCCCGGAGCCCTAACAGCACAGCAGCGCCCCAGAGGAGAGTAGCACTGCTGGGGCCAAACTGCCAGGGGCCCCGTGCCCCATGAGGGGACTTTTCTGGTCCTGGTGTGATCTGGTTTCCAGTCATGGGGCAGGCAGAAGTGGGAGGCCTCTGGCCCTCTTTTCTTGAGGAAGGACTGATCCAGCGCCACGGGGCCTCCACTTCCTTTCCGGCCACGCAATAAACCATGTGCTGCCTTTGTAGGTCATTTTTCTCAGGGAGTTTTATTGTCAGCCACAGCAAGCACTGCGCCCCCACCCCCCACCTGCCCCAGTCCCCTCCTGAGGCCTCCGAGCCTCTTATTCCTCTGGCTGAAGCCATACCAGCACCTTGGCAGGTTTGGGCCGCAGCTAAGGGGTGAACACAGCCAGGTTCACCCATAGCCCACCGGAAGCTGCTTTTCAGGGTGGGACCCTGATCGGTTCCATCTGGGGGGGCTGTTCTGCGTGATACCCTTGGGGAGCACAGCTGCCTGGCTCCTGCAGTGTTCCCTCTTCCTGCTCCCCCCCACTTCAGTTTCCAGGCACGCTGGGGTTTTTTTATCCAGCTGCTGTCTTTGTTTAGGCCTAGTAACTCAGGCGGTGCCCCAGCCGAGACCATTGGGGTCCTGGTTGGTGGAAAGGAGGGGTCCCTGGGACAGCCCCTCTGGCGGCTGCTAGCAGAACCAGGGAGCACCGGCAGAATCTCAGCCGGAAGGCTGGAGAGGCACTGAGGCTGTTGGGGTCTTCTGCCCTCAGCGTTGGCACGAGCAGGACCCCTCAGGCTGGAGGCGGGGCTGCCGCTTGCACGAAAGCTGCTGGAGGGGCCCCTGCTCCTGGGTTGCAGTGAGGGGCGGCAGGACACATGCCCCCACATGAACCGAGAGGCCAGTGGTGCAGCCCAAGCAGCATTGCCGACCGTCCAGTCCGGCCCTGCTGCTCCCCCCGCTCCCCCTTACTGGCCGTACAGCTCGGCCAGGCGCCGGAATCGTGGCCCCCATTCCTTGAGGTAGTCATAATCTTGGTCTTCGTCCGCCAAGCTGGACAGGATGGAACTCAGCGACCCACTGACGGAGCAGCCCCCTTCATAGTCGTAGATGAGAGCCGTGTCGTAAGGGGGAACGCTGGGGTCACCGTCAGCCGCCTCCAGGCCCTGCGCAGGAGACAGAGCGGGGGTGTGTGTGTGCCAAAATCCCAGTTACCGTTTCAGTCCCACCCTCACTGGGCAAGGGAGCGATGCCCCTCTGCCACCAGGCCCTTTTGCCCGGCTGCAGATGCCTGCTGGGTGGTTCAGATCTTGATTCAGCTGTACCAGCTCAGAAGCGATGCATCTCACTGATGCTCCTTTTCAAGAAAGCGTTTGGTGCCTAGATCCATGTCCCCTGAGTCGCAAGGCCCTCTTCAGAGTGTGGATCTTGCTGCTTCGGGGGCACGGAGCCTCAGGGCGTGACCGACGGGGGCTTCTCTTGTGGGCAGGGAGCAGCCCGGCTGCTTCCTCGGCTGTTAGCAAGAGCTTTATGTCCCCCTGGCAACTGCCGGGCGTCCTTGAGGGCCAGCAGCATGGCAAGTGGTGTGAGGGAAGATACCAAACGGCTTCTCTCCTCCCACGAGAACCAAACTCCCATCAGCCGAACGGATCCCAGGGCAGACTCAGAGCGGGGTCCGGCCGGAAGGTCCCGCTTGCCCTCCTCCTACCCCGTCCCTGCCCGCCTGCCTCTTTGCCTCGTCTCACCTCATTGATGAAGTCCTCGATGTCGGAAGGGCAGGCGGTCGTGCGCTGGGGGTACTGAGGCAAGGTGTAGCTGTAGGGGGCGTCCCTCCGTCGGAGGGGCTTGCCCCGTGGGGCTGGTGGGCGAAAGAGGTCCGGGTCACGCAGCTGGGAGAGATCGTAGGCGTCCTGCAGGCAGAGAAGGAACACCCGGCCATCGTGACCCCCAGGCTGAGAAGCAGAGAAGGCGACGGCCCCCGCAGCTCCGCTGATCATACCTGATCCTCCTCGCCGCCGCCCTGCTCGTCGTAGTTGAGGACGTTGTCCCTCAGGTCATCCTGCGAGGCCCCCAGGAGTCCCTTGCGGAGAGCTTGTCGGCGAGCGTGCTCCAGCCCCGCCACCAGCAGCACCAGCACTGCCAGAGAAGGCGAGGTCAGCCTGGGCGGCACGCGGGGCAGCAGGCCCACGGGGAGCCGCTGGCCACGCCCTGCCCTATGCTGCTGGCAGCTGTTCTCGTGGCACATTTCCTCCGGGGAGATCTTAAGACCTCCCTGCCTGTGCCAGGGGAGCCTGGGGAAAGGCAGCCAGCCAATGCAGCCCCCTCCCCATAATCAACTGTAAGTGAAGTCCATGTTCACATGCTCTGCTGTAGGAAAATGCGCGCGTGGGGCTGAGGCACTCAGGTCAGTATGAGCACCAGGGTCCTCCTGTTTGCAGCAGGGAGGCTCTTCTGCCAGAGGGAAGCCCGGGTGCTGGGCAAATCTCCACCACGTGGAAGCCCTCTGCTCCCCCCCCCAGAAATAGACATCCATCCATCCATCCATCCATCCATCCATCCATCCATCCATCCATCCATCCATCCATCCATCCATC